ACTTTTTGTATTAATTAGTTAAAATTAATATAATATATTTACTTGAATATGCTATATACATACATATTATGTATGTGACTAATTGATGAGGGATAGAGAAGATTAGTTGATGAACTCACATTAGTCATTTCGTTTGTAGGGTACATGGTTTAGGGAATAGAGGTTGCAGGCTTGCTAAAATGATTCGAACTTTGATAAGGTTATATTGTGGATAAATTAACTTCAAGAAAAATGGGATGATGTATTTTCAAGATGACTTTCTTTATCTATGTCGTATCCAAAACTCTTAACATTGCACATGTTCCACACTACGGTTGCAGACTATAACCTTATTGATGTATGTCTGTTACTCTGGATTTGGACACACCAATGCAAAAAGGCATCTCTTTTATTTTGAAGCGGATCCACAATCCCTTCAAATAAAAGTGTTATATATAAATCTCACAACCAATCTTGTTTACAAACTTATGTTGGAATGACAGATAATTATATAATCATTTTTGAAATTTCTAAGATTGTTAATATTCATTATCTTAATGATTTAATTTTTTGGTTTTCCTGTACAGGTTTTGTGGAAATTACCCCTCTTCTCAAACATAATTTTGTGTTACTGTTAATTATTTGAGCCGTTTTAAAGACTTTGAGTTTTTAGTTTTTTACAAGTATTCAATGCCCATGTAATTGACTAAAATAAACTAATGGAGCAGTTTTGTTTGTTTTTTTATGTTGTCTATTTTCTTCTTAATAACATTATAAATAACAATTTGATCGATTATGAAATTATGACTATTTTTAGTTTGCTAAAACATGGAATACAACACATTTACCTATATTTTGGGCTTTTATAATGTTCAATCTTGAAAGTTAAAGAAACAATATTGAATTTAATACTTAGAGAATAACATACATGCATTTATAAACACAATCTACTATGTCTTGCCAAAAATACCCTTAGAGTCTCCATGGAATAATTTGCTTCTTTTACATCAGTAAAAAAAATGAAACTATGTTGTTATCTATATACAAATACCATTGCAGCCTACTATGTGACAAAATTGCCCCTGTCCACCCATATACGACTTGAAAGACTCAGCTTATGAAAGTCTGCTGCAAGGAAGGTATATGTCATATAACTTTGAATTGAAATTAGAGATTCCATTCCATGGTTGCCAAAAGGATAAAATTCAATTTAATTTTTCTTTTTATTGATGAAATTACCAAAATTCCCTTCCAAATACATTTTGCTAACAAAATTATATGTTTCAAGTATCTTTGTCATCGAATTTGAAAGAGGTATAGAAGGAACAGTACAAAAGAAAACATTTGCCAATAAAAAATCAGAAAGAAACCTACGATGGGGTCAAACCAACCCCAATAGGAAGTACAAAACAAAAAGTTGTAGGAACATAATGTCGATGGAAAACCAATAATAAAAAATGAAGAGTGCAAACCAACTAAGCAGATACAGTGACATGTACACATACGCATATAGAATGAGACAAGAATAAAAAATAAAGACGAACCAAATACATGTATTTTCCGAATGAAAGTGATTGAAAGGTTAAAGTATTTTTCTTTTTTTCTCTGCAGAGGATTCGTGAGATAAACAAAAGTGTAAATGGAATACCACGCATGTAATATACATATATACCCGTAAAATGGATTGAAATCTGGAGATGATCTTTGAGATAAACAGTTGCAGGTCATTATATTAAACAAATATAATGGAATTCTATTAAACAAATATCGAAATATCGTGAAGTTAATAATCAATTCCAAATATAATGCATTTTAAATGTATTGATACTATGGTTAGTCTATAAATGCATTTAAATCTTACTATATTACAACATTTTTAAACGGAAATATGAAAAATCAATTGGATTTTTAAAAACTGATTCAATCGATTTGAGGGTAATGAATATATGACAATTTAAGAAAACCAAGGGTAACGAAGTAAATTAACATTGAACGGAAAACGAAATATAAGAGTGACATGTCATCAAATAGAGTATCTTATATATATATATATATATATATATATATATATATATATATATATATATATATATATATATATATATATATAGGGATGAGCATTAGAACCGTCGGAACCGGAATTGGTAATAAGGTCCGGTTACCGGTTCTCCATTTTCATGAAAACCGGTCCCGGTTTGACATTTTTCGCGTTTTTTAAAATGTGCATAACTCACTCATATGAAATCGGAATTACTTGATTTTTTTTCCAACATGTTATTTGGAGCTTGTAGTTCTATTTTGACTATACAAACATATATTTTGGTTAGATGTTGAATCAGAAACATGCCCCGAAAGAAAGAATATTTATGCTGCGTTTTTTATATTTCAGTACTTTTTTTGTTTTTCTAAATCTGGCCCGCTTTTTTAAATGTGCATAACTCATTCATATGACGTCGAAATTACTTTATTTTTTTTCCAGCATGTAATTTGATGTTTGTACTTCATTTTAGACTATACAAACACATATTTTGGTTAGATATTGAATCAGTTATAGACCTCGGAAGACAGCATATCAATGCTGCGTATTTTCTGTTTCAGCATTTTGTTTTTATTTTTTGGAATCTGTCCTGCTTTTAAAATGCGCATAACTCATTCATATGAAGTCGGAATTACTTGATTCTTTTTTCATCATGTAATTTACTGTTTGTACTTCAATTTAGAATGTAAAAAGTCATAATTTGGTTAAATATTGAATCATTTATAGGTTCCGAAAGATAACATATCATCTATAACATTTTAACCGGTTCTAGTTTGAGAAATAACCGAAAAACCGGGACCGGAACCGGAACCGGAACCGGAACCGGTGCTAGAACCGGCGGTCCGGTTCCCGGTTCTTCTAATATAGGGAAACCGGTTCCGGTTCCGAACCGCTCCGGTTCTAAAGCTCATCCCTATATATATATATATAACAAAAAAATTTCAAACATTTGGTAGTAGTGTGTATCGGCTTTCAAGCTATATACACTCCGGTTAATTAGATCGATATGGTTGTCCGATTTGCTTTAAAAATGAATTATTTTATTAATATGTTAAGTGAAATCTAATTTTTCAAGTCTAATATACCGGTTTAAATGTTATTTTACCAGTTCTATCACACCAATTCACCCGATTTTCAAAAACCGTCTAGTTCGATCCGGTTTAAAAATTGATATAATATAAAAAAAAATTGAAACCAATTAATTATTCAAACTTTCCTATCGTACATATTTCAATATTTTTACAAGTTAATGTTATTCTCGCACAAAAATATTCCATTTAATCATTACCCATACCTTTTTTTAAACCACAAATCTAAAAGACCATCGTCATACACCACCATATCACTCTCTTAACCCCTTGTAGATTTACGAGTTCCAGGAGTACTGTCCCTTTCTTAGACAGATGTCTCAAGAGGGGGTGGCAGAAAGACAGAGAGAAATCTAGGGGGAGGAGTTCCTCTCAACATTCAGTCACAAACTGAAGTGATCTTATAAATATAATCCGCTAGCTTTAGTTATTTCTCCCCATACTCACAGTACTTCACCCCACCCCCATCTGTAGATAATCTTTTGTGTTGGTGCTTGAGCTGTAGTTTGCTGGTTCTCTCTTAATTAGTTATATATATATATATATATATATATATATATATATATATATATATATATTTCTGTCTTCTTTGTCGGTGCTACCAGATGTATGTATCATACACTCACACCACAATCTCAACCCCCTCATTTCTCTTGTTTTTCTTTTAATCTTTCTTCTTCTTCTTCACAAGTCCAATATATTCATCTCTCTCTCTCTCTCTCTCTCTCTCTCTCTCTGTGTGTTTGTCTTTCTCTCTCAATTCTCATTTTTACATGGTTTTCAGGAGCAACCCGCTAGACCTAAACAACTTACCAGAGGATAATATCGCCAGAGATCATGACAAACAACCCCTTGATGACTCCTCTCCTTCTGCTGGTAGTTAGTTAACTTCTCTCTCTCTCTCTCTCTCTCTCTCTCTCTCTCTCTCTCTCTATATATATATATATATATATATATATATATATATATATATATATATATATATATATATATATATATGTTCTTCTGTGATCTATAATTTATTTGGGTTAAACCGTAAAGACTTATTCATGCAATGAGGTGGATTTTTTAACCTAAGCAACATCTTTCAAACTTGTTACTAAATTTATAACATATTCAGTTGTATGGATTTGTTACAAAAACATAATTGCATAAATTTAAACGCAATCCACTCAGTTTGATAAATTGGTAACAATATATCTTCCTTGCACATAATGAAGTCACAAAATCTATAATCTATTTTTTCGTATGAAGTATTAGATATAAAACTTTAACCTTCTTTTAGAAAATCTCTTTAAAGGTATTTATATAGTTCATTAAGAGTAAAACTATATCATCTTATTCGTATAAAGGGAGTGGATATAACTTTAATGAATTCTAAGGCACTAAAAATAATCGGTACTATTTGGTTTTCTATACTTTACTTTTTAAAAAAAATTAACAACATTTTGATAGCTTTGAGAAGCAAACCCTAGAAAATGTTGTGGGTTAAGAAGCGGTAGTCTGGCTAGTCAAACAGATAATTTAGAGAGCCAGTGTTTGTCATTAATTTTCTTCTGTGAAAATTAGGGACGGCCTTCAATTTTTTTTGAAAAGTAACAGTATAGTTACTCCATCCATAAAATAAAGAAAATCTTTATCAATGGCACACCTACGTTCGAGACTTTGTATTATCATAATTTATATTTTTATAAGTTTTTTTTTTTTTTTTTTTTTTTTTTTTTTTTTTTTTTTTTTTGTATGTGTGTGGTTGAATGCTTGTAACAACAATACAAACAGATGTTACCAAAATAAAAGAAAACCAAAGAATATATGAGAAGTCCCATCACTCATCAGTATTGCTTTTGAATGAATTGAAATATATAGGAAGCTACAAAAAAAAGAAAAACGGCGCAATGGATGAAAGTAGGAAGGTCTACGAGTGTAGGTTTTGCTCCCTTAAGTTCTGCAAATCTCAAGCCCTTGGGGGACACATGAACCGCCATCGCCAAGGTATATCAACCTCTCTCTCTCTCTCTCTCTCTCTCTCTGTATATATATATATATATATATATATATATATATATATATATATGTGCTAGAACAGTAGGCTAGAGTGACTGAGTTAACCTGATAATGATTTGAGGTAAAATGCAGGTGTTTAGACTTCAAAAAAATATCCACATCAGGAGCCAAGTTAAATTCTTTACACTTCCCTAGTGCTGAAATTGTTGTACGAATATCTTATCAATCTAATAATGCTTTAATTTGCATTTTTTACGCTTACAGCTGATCATAAAACAATTTTGTTAGAGTAAAGGGGCATCAATTGCAATAAAGTAATGACACATATATGTATATATATTCTTTAAAACCAACTACATACAAACAAAAAAGTATTCATGATCAACAGATCTCTCAACCTCAAATATCTTAACCACCAATAATGTATTGTGGAACAGAACATACCCTTATAGTTGTGTAACGTTACATTGCTAATTCGTCCTTAATTTAAGGTGTTTATATATTATATTTAATGGTATGTATAATATGTTCACCCATAAGATTTTTTGTTATATAATATTTACCTTTTAAAATGTAGAGTAGTGTCTCTTGAAAAATAATTTAAAACCATGTTTGTGATCTCAGAGAGGGAGACTGAGACGCTAAATAGGGCTCGTCAATTGGTTTTTGGTAACGATAATCTCTACCAACGTGGGTATGTTTCCTCCTCTTTCTTTCTTTATTGAATAAGTAAATAAATATATTTAATTCCCAGTTCCGGGAAAATGTTCGGCCTGAATTGTATATGTTTTTTTAACCAAACGGGTATTGGCATATAGCGAGCCTATAGTTAATTTATTAATTAAAAAGGACAGACTTCATGTACCAATACACATGAACTTTAAAGGATGATCACTAGAGTGTACACGCTAGTGTTATAGATTTATAACATGAAATACAAGAAAATTTTGGACCTCGAACCCTAACAGATTTTGTAGGACATATTATAACATTTTCTTTATGTAAACTCTTAAGAAAAAGGATATCACACAAGTACAATAATTATGTCGTTTTCTTGGACAATAATATGGTACATGTTTTTTTGTGTACTTTGAGTGTAACTACATTTGACAAGTCATGTTGATATCGAACTGTAGTAGCCAATCAACGGTGAATGGAGGCTATCATCATCAAGGATCAAGTTGCAACATGGGGAGTGCTCTTTACCCTACTAGACTCTTTTCCGGTGCTTCCACAGCCGTGCTACCACCAGTGCCACCGCAGCAACATTTGTACACATCACCACCGTCACGCCTCAGTAACTACTCATCACAACATTCTAAGTCGCAGTCAGGAAATAAAGACTATTTTCTGGGCCATGTTTGCTCCAACAACCCACAATTCATCTTCCAGAATTTGAGCTACATTGCTACACCACCCCCCGATGGTACTAATAATTACACATGCATTGGCGCACCTGTTGGACAAGCATTCACCATCACCGGAGGAAGTGGTGGTGGAGACATGTCAGCGTCTCCGATCAATAGATATCATAAGGATGGATTCTGAATTGAAACCTTTTATTTCTTGTTATTATTATGATAAGCAAAACTCGTCCTTTTTCTGTCTGTTTTTTTCTGGGGTGAATGTGAAAAGTTATAATGGGACAAGAGAGTGCGGAAAGGAGAGAAGTAGTTTCGTTGGCTTTTTGTTGAAGAGGTCGTTAGGGTTTAATGTAGTGGGGTGTGAGTGTGACAGGCTTCATACAGACTGAAAACTGGAAGAAGGTAGTGTAACTAGGGTACCTGCATGTGGAACACACAAGTTAGATTTCAACTGGAAGTTCCCAACACCTTTTTGGATTTGAATTTATTTCTCTTTCATGGGGATTGAGTTCCATTTTTCTGGTTGCTTTTTATCTTCAAATAAATCTTCATAATTCATCACTGTGCATTTTCAGTCCATATTATCATTTTCAACATTGTTTTTCTGTGTATACTGTTTGAAAGAATATTTCGCTGAAATGTAAGCCGTCAGTGTGGTACAAGCAAGAGATTGATTAAATATCGTATTCATCAAAAGTCATTAACAAGTGTTACGTACAATATTCATCATCACTAGCTGTAGAAGCAATGTCATTCTTTGGCTAAGAAGGTGGAGGTGTTTGAAAAAAAAAAAAAACTTAAATTTAACATGCCTTGAGAAATTATAAGTTTTCACTTAGAAAGTTCCGGTTTATAGTTAAACCATTGTCTATTATCATTAAAAATGAATTAGAAATAACAGATTTGGACTCTCTATATTTCTTTCGTCCCTTATTAGATCATGTTTTAGATATTTAATAAATGTTTAAAATATAGAGTAAATTGAACATTGATTTTATAAAATGATTAAAGGACTACTAGTTGGGTTATGAGTTTCCAAAATATTAAATTTGAAAAAAGTAGTACTACGATTTGCAAAACTTTTAAATAGGAAGTACCATTGCACTATACAAGAGAGTGGTCAGAAGTTCTATTCACAACGACAGACTGTAATTAAGAAAATAGTGAAAAACTAAGAGATGACTCTTTTTTCTTTTTGATTCGTGTGCTCACAACAGTAAGTAGAACACAAGATGCTTTTATCGAAGATTCCAGAGGAGACATGGTTTTGTGGTATCCTGATTAATCTTCGATCTTTGAAGTACTGGAGTACATAACATAAGTATCCTACTTTAACACGATCTCATAAGGGTTGTTTTTTTTTTTTTTTTTTTTTTTGTATATGATAGATACATCAACCATTTCACACACAAAGGACATACGATTTTGAGTGGAAATCGGGAAAACCATAAAGACACTTCCGGGGAGGGGGGGGGGGGTGAATAAAAGAAATTGGATTCAAATGTCTTATGATAATGGTAATTACCAACAGATAAAGAGGTTCTACCAACATATGACATGCGTGTGCATATATAGGCATACAAAATTATAAATTAGAATTATGAAAACCTCCAAACTAAGATACAACTGAACTGAAAAAAAAAAATGTATATATATAAAGCGATGCAGCATAATTAAAAAAAAAGGTATATATAACTGAAAAAGATTGCATAAAAACACTCCAAAACTCGATTCAACACTCCAAACCCATCAGAGTTAAAAGAGGAAATTTTTAAATATTTTCAAGCAAAGTTTGAAGAACCAATGCAAGAGAGGCCGCAATTCTTAAGTAATAAACTCAACATGATTACAGACCAACATAGAGTAGATTTGGAAGCACCGTTTACCCGTGAAGAAGTGAATAAAGTTGTTTGGGGCTGCAGGATTGATAAGGCACCGGGGCCTGACAGGTTCACGTTTGCGTTCATTAAAAACTGGTGGGACAAGCTGGGTGAAGACTTCTTTGCAACCGTTCAATTTTTTCAAGAACATTCAGTAATAAACCCCAAAAAACAATGCCTCCTTTGTCACTCTTATACCCAAGTGTGGGGATCCTGCGAGCCTTTGAGACTACATGCCCACAAACCTTATAGGATGTGTGAGTAAGATGATTTCGAAAACTTTAGCTGAGAGACATAAAAGGTTTTGCCCGTGATTATAAGCAAAGAACAAACTGCCTTTGTAAAGAGCATAAACATTACGGAAGGACCCTGATGGTAAATGGAAGTGGTGAGCTGGGCTAAAAGAAGGAAGAAGAAAATAATGATATTCAAGCTCGATTTTGAGAAAGCCTTTGATAACCTGAAACGTCCCAAAACTCATAGAAAATTTTCATTTTTTAAATAACTAAAAATCATCTTCCATTTCATTAAAGATCATCATAGTAATAAAAGTTTTTCCGAAACAAACATCATAGTATCATAAAAAAAAAGTGTGGAATCCTCGGTGGATGCGACACAATCATGTCGGGCCTTTACTACAAGAAGTACTTGAAACATTTAAACATAAAATCGTGAGCACAACGATTAGTGAGTTCCCCAAAATACCACATATCATACATATCAATACATATCATACGAATTTTATGGTCTTTCCACAGTCTTAAAATCACTTTCGTTACTGCAGTCCTCCTGTAGTCTTTCCTACTATGGTCCTCCCAAAGTCTTTCATACAACTGACACGGTCCTCCTATTGTCTTTCATACAATTTCCATAGTCGTCCCATGGCCTTTCATACAGTTGCCATTGTTCTTCCATGGTCTTTTCATGCACAAGTCGCAAAGACAATCTAGTATTCTATATAGTATACTGAGAAGACTTACCTCGCTAATCAGAGTAGACTAAATCACAACTCACAAAATCGGGAAGCTGGTACTACACATCACCTAATGAATCACAGAAGGACAAGCCTTAGTCTACCAACTAAAACTAACAATTTGACTAAAATTAAACCCGGTTAAAAGTCAACGGTTAGTCACTGTACCGAGGCTAACCTATGACCGTGTTGTGGTAGCCACACGGAAAAACAGTCACATATGAAACTTGCTACCACATTGTGGCGATGACCTTGTCACGTCGTGGTCTAGCTTCATCAAAATTATGACGTGTTTGCCCACCATGTCGTGGCAAGACCGTTGTCACGCCGTGGGGATGCTGGTAGATCCATCTCTTTGCCAAGCTCTTAATCTGTTAAGTTAAGCATTCATACTTTCTAGAAAACTTCTTAGCATCCTTAGGGGCAATAAAAACCCTAAATTTATGGACATGCATGTCCAATGCTTGTCATACTTCAAACTAAGTCAAAATGGGAGAAATGGGGGCCAAACCCCATGCATGAAACCCAAAACTATATAGAAGTTCAGATCTAAAGCATATATCATCCTTGAGACTTCAAGGATCAATAAAGTTGCCAACTTTATTGAAACCATCCATTCAAACCAACAAAATCATGAAAAAACATGCATAAAACCTAGATCTAAAAAGGATGAACCAAAAGATAAGAACTTGGGAACTTACAAAAGTCCAAAATATGCATAAGGAGGTGGAGATAAGCTTACTTGTTGAACCCTTGCACTAGAAAACCTCACTTCTTCCTTTAAAGGCCATAAGAGCACCAATGTGAGCTAAAAATATTTAAAAGGAGGCTAGGGTTTGATCCTTTACACTTGGAGGTGATGGAGGCTGAGGGTGGATGAAACCCTAGCCATCACATCCTTTAAATAGGGCCCACAGCCCAAGATCTAGGGTTTTGAGCCCCGATTGTCACCCCATCCAGTCCAAAAATTGTCACGTCGTGGGTATAGAAAATCCCAAAGTCACAACGTTGCAAAGTACCAAACTCATACCTGAAGAATCACGTGTTACAACTCTCACCCAATTAAATTAGATTTTGTCCTCAAAATCTATTTCCACAAATAACTTAGGATAATGCTCTCTCATATCCTTATCGTGTTCCTAAGTCTATTCGAAACTCATGGTGATGCCATTGCACTTTAACCAAACCACCACCTTGTTGTGTAATACTCCAAAAATCACAATAAATTTACAATTTTCAAAATCATCCATTAATCAATATTGTTTACAAAAAGAGTCATTGTTTCAAAAGCATTATTTCAAATCAGAGTTTTCCCAAGACCCAATGACATAAAATAGGAAACTTTGTACGATCACGCGTTTACCTTCCCACGATCCTCAGAAGTACCTGAAACAATAAACTAAAAACTGTAAGCCAAACCTTAGTGAGTTCCCCCAAAGAACCAACACACACACACACATAACATCATATATCGGGTCCACAACTAGAAAGATTGGATTACCCCTGAGCCCACAGTATGAGTCTGACATGCCAATCGGGCCCTCAGTTCATATCTGGATTACTCCTGAGCCCACAGTATGAGTCTGACATACCAATCGGGCCCTCAACTGATATCTGGATTGCTCCGGGATTGTTGGCTACCGCACAAAGCAGTACAACCTCAACCCAACATAATATGTCGACATATGTAACAGATAAACATAAACACAAAACCAGCAAATAAAGATAATCATAAAGATCTACTAATCAACCACATTCCAACATAATACTATCCCAACCAGGATAAATAATCTAGCGGGTCGGCGTTGGTGCCTTCGACCCACGATACAGTGAGGAAAAACTCACCTCTCAGTCTGAATGCAGTATGAATAAATCCGTGCTCCGACAACCGGCGCTACCCAACTCCTAAATATCAAAACATTTCCCATTCTAAATTAATAACAATTTTCCCAAAATACCCTTGGTCAAAATTGGTCAAAATCAACAAGTCCACTGAGTCAACCCAACCGAGTCAACTCAGCCGAGTCAACTCAGGCCTCGTATGCGGGGCGTACCTCAGGTGCACGCGGGGCATACTTGCGTCCGACAAATCGGGGCTCATCCTGTGTAGGCGCAACGTACCATTTGGTACACCCAGCGTACACACATGTTTTCTTCTTAACCCCTTAAGAGCTTAATACTTCGACTTTTTACGTCCAAATGCATATCCAAGGCCCAAAATACCACTGAGAGTCATAAAGTTTCCAACTTTATGACTTTGCATTCCCATTAAGTGCTTAATCCAAAGAATCCCAACTTCTTAACACGTTAAGACCTTCTAGAGCATGCATG